TTTCCTTTCCTTTCCTTTCCTTTCCTTTCCTTTCCTTTCCTTTCCTTCTTTCCTTTCCTTTCCCTTCTTCCTTCCTTCTTTCCTTCCTTCCTTCTTTCCTCTCCAAACAATTCTCTCTTTTTTTTTCATAATGTCTACTTCTTTAAAAAAAAATTAATAACCCAAACACCACATGCTCAGAGTGCTCCTCTGCCCTCTACGAAACAAAAACCCAACCCAGTTCTTTGGGGGGAAATAAACTCCCACCTACATGGGACTTTCTGCCAGTCACCAGGGAGTTCTCCGGCTCGCCTTTGGCCTACAGCTTAAAGCCTACTCCGCCACACACAGATCGCGGAGAAGGGGAGTGGGAAGCCTAAAACTAAATAAAACAGAAGAAAACAACTACATCAACAAGAACAACAAAACCTCCAGGAGGAAGTGGTGAGACCAGATGGCTGCAACGGCCACTTTGCAGCTTCCAAAGTACCTGCACTCCTCCAGCAAACCTCGGATAAGACCCAAACGTGGACGTAGGAAAATTGTAAGAAGGAACGAAGTAAAAATCAAACCAAAGCGGGTGTGCGACAGGCGATGTCTGTGCGGTGTGTGTGTGTGTATAGTCCTCACCGCTTACATACGTACACAACACAGCGTAACTCGGTTTCCACCAGAAGTTACAAGACAGCAGCCCAGTTGGGATGTAAAGCTTAATATCGAACAGCAAATGAAGTTTGAAGGGGAAAAAAGCCATTGTCAAAGGAGATGCCTCACTCTGTATCGGGATAGACGAAATGGGCACACGCAAACCTCCTACTAAATGCATGTATGTGTATGCCACACATACCATAATTAGCCCCAGCCCCATTTCGCCTCCGCCAAAAGTTCCCTTTGGGATTATAGATTTGAGCCCCTCTTTGCCATACTTTAAATTCCCCAGTTATGAGGTACACGGATTTAGGATTAAGAAGAGTGTGACTTTTCAGTCGTTTCTGCTTCCCTCTTTGCAGGATTATTTGGAGAAACTAGAAATGGTGTGCAAGGCATTGAATTTTAAATCCGCTTTCCGCAGCTGCTTAAGAGATTCTCGGGCGCGCAGTGTCCAGCGTTTGGAACTGTCTCTCGTTGGACCGCGCGGCGGAGGGGAATTGCACAAATTCGTTGTTAGAAGTAGAACAAGGAGTTTCGGCATCTCCCCCTCTCCTAGTTCTCCACCCCCTCCGCCCTTCCCCCTCCCCGCTTACTTGCCCTCCTCTCCGCCCCACAATGGTGTCTGCGGAGTAGGGGGGGTCCCCAATTCGTACGGACAGATCTGATGAGCGTTCGGCTGTCTTGCAAACAAGCTGTAAAACCCAGTCACCAAAATAATAAGCACTAAAGGGACGGAAATAGTTCTCTTTGTAAAAGGCTCAGGATCCCTCTGCAAAGAGCTAGGTCAAAAACACCGAGACTCAACAAGAAGTACATTTTTAGAGAAAGGGGAGTTGGTGCTTCCTAGGGGCTTGGGAGGATATGAAGACTCCCCAACCTTAGCCTCCCACTCCCCCACTTCCCACCCCAGGTCTTCCAGGATTGGGGAATCCGCTAAGAACCTGGCCGGCGATTGTACCCACTTGTTGATCCCGCCGGTTTGCTCATGCTGACAGTCCTGCAGTGAAGGGGCTTGCTGGCTCTGATCAAGTCTCGGCCTGTAGCTCTCTCTTCTCTTGGGTGCCTCTCTCCCGCCTTCGAGCCTCTGTAGTTGTGACAGGTGGATTTTGACTGCTGTGTGTATGTGTGAGTGTGAGTGTGAGTGTGTTTTCCCCTGGGCTGTCAGAATTCGTGTCACTGTGGAAATTTAAGCATCTTCGAGTTTCTTCCCGGCTCTTGCAAACATGCAGCTTCTAGGAATGTTTCTTGGTACGGACAAATACATGGACAGACACATAGACAGGCAGACAGACTGAAAGAAGTAGGGAGAAGGCGTAGGGGGAGGAGGCTTAAAGGACAGTCATAGATACAAAGATTATTTTTTTTCCTCGGGAATCCAGAGGAATTCTCTCTCTCTCTCTCTCTCTCTCTCTCTGTCTCTCTCTCTCTCTCTCTCTGTCTCTCTCTCTCTCTCTCTGTAGACTGCGGGCAAACGTATACAGACCGCTTGATCTTCTAAGCAAATAACGACAAATCACAACGTCCGAGTTGCAGAAGCAGCTGAGCTTGGCGCTGCCCAGAAAGAAACTCCAAGCCTGAGAGAGAGGTTCTGGCCGGGGGAGAAGGCTTCCGAAGAAGCGGCGCCTCGGCTTCCAGCAAGGGAATGGCACCAACCAGCAAAGGTCTCCAGAAGTTCATTGCACTGTGACTTTGCGTCTGGAGCTCCGGGCTGGATTCCCTATAATACCTCCAGAGCAGCTCTGACAGCAGCAGTAGGGAGGGGAATAGGGCGTCCCTTGCCCACTTAGCTTTTCCCTGCTTTTCCCCCAACTCCTGGCGGGGTCTGACGTCAGCTGTGTGCTGGGAGGGGGCGAAGAAGGGGGAGGGGGTTAAATGCTAATGATATTAATGAACCTCCAAGCGGCTTCCATAGAAAATGCAAGCGCTCGGGGAGCGGATTTGCAGGGAGTGTGCATTATATGGGAGTGTGACTTGGGTGTATGTGTGTGCGTTTGTTTTGTGCTTCCACAGTAATAAAAGTGAATTATGATTATTTTTTCTTGGGGAATGGGTAAGGGGGAGGGGATACTGGGGCTTCCTCAAAATGCTCTTTTTCCACTCCTCGGGGGCTGCGAGTGAGATCTGTTATGTGAGAGCTTGTGTGTGTGTGTGTGTGTGTGTGTGTGTGTGTGTGTGTGAGCGCGCTCTGGACTTGGCCTATGTGAGCTTGGTTCATTCTGTGCCCTGTGTCCCTTCTGTTGAGGGTAAAACTTGCATCTGACCCGAGGTGAGTAACTGTTCATTTTGCAACTACCTGCGGGAAGTTTTGGAGGCTTGCAGGCATGTATTCTGGCCTGGACTAGGATATTGGGGTCACACAGGGAAGATGAAGGGTGGGAACAGGAAGCTGAAGGGGAAGAGCCTGTCGGTGCCTAGTTTCTCTTTTTTGCAGTAGGTCTGGGACCAGGGTTGGTGGTGGTGCTGGTGCTGCTGCTGTTGGTGTTTGTGCCTATTTCCTGACCCACTCCTCCCACTTAGGTGCTTTCTTTTTTCCCCAGAACAAAGATAGGCCCATCCCTGCCAGAGGGACCAAAGCATCCATTGCCTTCACCTTTTTTTTTTTGTCCCTGGGGGGGGAGGGAGAACAGGTGTGCGTCAGAGCCTGGCCCTCCGACCTCCTCTGCCCATCCAGAATTGAAGCATTTCTCGGCTGGAACACCCTGTGGGTCCCCACCCCCAGTTGCTGCCTCCCCTAGCCCAGTCCCCCCTCCCCACGCTATTCACCCCGCCTTCCACCTGGAAGAGAGGGAGGGAGGGGTGGAGCGAGGGCTCCCAAGGATCATTAGCCGTATCCCACATCTTTATTAAGAGATTAATTCTCTTTTAAACCCTGGGGGAAGATCGAACTTGTCCAAAGTGAGCTTGTTAACTTCTCGGGGCGTGGGCTAGGCCTCGGGTTGAAGGTCACGGATTCTGTTTTCTTCTACTTTCCCTCACCTTCCTCCTCCCTACCCCTTAGTTGGCCCCCTTGGCTAAGCCCTGTAAGGTGACCAGTAGGGGGCTGTGTGAGCTCCTGGAGATCAAGCTTCCCAGTCCCTTCCCGCCCACCCCCACCCCCGTACCTTGGGCTCGGGTCTCCCGAACTCGAGATCCAAGGGGTGTGAAGTTGGGCGGAGAGGGGCGGTTCTTTTGCTTTGTCTAAATCTGTCACGTAGGTCAAAGCATATTTTATTCCTCGGGATTCTGGGACAAATTCCTGACTTTAAAAAGTGTGTGTGTGTCTGTGTGTGTGTCAGTTGGTTTTGGAAAAGCCTTAATAGGTGAACTCCCTTGAGAAACTGGAGCAGTGAGCGCCCCTTATTCAGCCTGAGTCAACATGTGACATTAAGTTTCTGGACACAACAGACTGAGAAAACACAGCCCTAACAGACAAGAAGTATTTATACGTGTGCAAAGAGAGCAGCCTGGATTGTTAGTCGGAAGACTTGGGTTCAAATCCAATCTATTTTTATGACCTCGGTCAAGTCACAACATCCCTGTGCCTATAATTCTTCATCAAAATGAGGGAGTTGGTCCAAGAGACCTCTCAGGTCCCTTACAGATAGAAACCTATGATTCTGTGATCCCTTGTAGAGATGTAGGGAGGGTTATGACCAAAGATTGCATCCGGTAATTATTTTCATTTTGGGGGCCCGAGGAGGGAAATGTTGGTGCAGCCTACTAGTATCAAAGTTTTTAGTAGGTATAAGAGGATCAGGTGAAACGACAGCCCACTTGCTAATGCCTTCAAGTATCTTTATTTAAAGAGAAAGGAAAATCTGATATGCTGAATCCAGCCTGAGCTTTTTGAAAGGGGCCACTAATATAGCCAAACACCAATGCAGTCACGAACCCCACTCATAAAAGTCCTGACACTGAAACTTTAAAGAAAGCCACAGAGCTCGAAATCTGGAGCATCTGGGGCTAAGGAATACCAGTTTCATGCCAAAGTTTCGTTTGAAAATCTTGGTTCTTGTTTGAGGGGATTGGACCAAATGACCTCTCCCAGCTTCAAATCTGTGACATGCGTTCTGCCGAGCTCTACAGAGGCTGCAGCAGAAAACCTTACTTACTACACATTCCTAGTTCCCTCTTACACCCAAAGTCAGCAACACCACCCTCGCCTCCACTATGCCCTAGGTCTTCTGGGCAGCTGACTCTCAAGGTCGGAAAAGAAAAGTCATAGGTGCTGAGATAGAGACTTTTTTTTCTTCTTCTGAGTAATCTGAAGGAAGAATTTTCTCTTTCTTGGTACTTAACAAGCGCAAAGAAGTACAGGGGTAAGATTTTTCCCCACCCCCACCCCCAGTCCCAGCCTGCGCAGCTCTAGCTCCTTCTTAGAGGTTCTGAATGAAATGAATTCAACTGCACCCTGGGAGAACCATTGTTTCTCTGGGTAGGAGACTCTTCCTGGCTTGGCCTCAATGGTTCGCTTTCAAGAGCATTTTGGGCGGTGGTCACAAGCTCTCTCAACTCCTAGATGGGAGTGTTGCTGTCCCCCTCCAGTTAACCTCAGTCAACCAGGACGTCTAGGAAAACTCCACCGAGGAGAAACCACCCCAGGCAACACAAGAGCTCCTGGGGTTCCTGTAGCTTTCGGCCTACTCTAGTTTCTTGTTGCTCTTTCTCTCCCACTGTGTGTCTAGGTGTCAGTCTGTGGGTTTGTCTCTCTGTTTCTCTCAATCAGTCTTCTTTTCCTGTCTCTGTTTCCTTTCTCTCTTCCTTTCTCTCTTCCTCTGTGTCTCAGTCTGTCCATCGATCTCCCGTTCCCCTCCCCCACCTCTTTTACTCCCCCCAACCCGTGCGTCCTTGTGTTCCTCTCTCTCTCAGCGCCGGGCTGTAATTATCCGCGTGCTTTGCATAAATCACAATGCCTCTCTGAAATCATCGTGATGACTTTCTGGCGTGATTGGTACGGTGGCAATAGCAGAGAAAGCGCCTTGAACAGGAGGGACGGGGAGGGGGAATGCGGGGATGACAGGCGGGCAGGGGGCGCAAGCCAAGGGAACCTCTGGAGAATTACCCTCAGCCCACAGTTGTTTCGACGGTTAAAGGCTTCAGACTTAGAAGACCTGGGAACTCTAGATTTTGGCCCGGGTGGGGGAAGAAGGGGGGGGGGGGGAAGGGGAGGGGAAGGGAGAAAGCGATTCAACAACAAAAAACCAACAATAAGGTAGTGTAATCAGAGGTCGGGGTGGGTATAGCGTTAAACCTATTCCTATACCTTTAAGTGCACCCACTAAATTGAAGAGATTGACCTTTAGGAAACAAGAAGAGCAGCTATTGATCTATGGTAAACATTTTTTTGAGGAACCTCGGGCCGCACAGATAGTCTGACCACTAAAAAGAAAGGGTGTTTGTATGGGGCGGCGGGGGGGGGGGGGGCGCATAGTATCAGAGAAAAAGTCTTCACAACCAGGTGTGCCCAATTTGGATGAAGAGGATAGACCTATCAATCCTTCTCCAGAGGAAATCTAGGGAAACCCTAAAAGGCGCTGTTATACTCGTCTTTGGACCTGGTCAAACCTCTATCCCCACTCCTCAACCTGCAGGTTCAGAGAAAATAGACCCTGGCACTCCCAAGTAGAGACATTAGCTGCATTCCTGGGCCAAGGAGATCCAAACTTTTTTTTTTTTTTACCAAGTTGATTTTACCCACCTGCCACTACAGGCTCACCTCTGCCCCTGTCCCAACACATACTTATACCAATTCCATTAAAAAGCAAAGAACTAGACAGAAAAACAATTACGTAGGATTCATTTGGTCATCTCAGTGGCTAAGTCACTTCCATTCAAGTAAGTCAGTAAGGAGCATCAAAGAATTAATAAACATTTATTATAAATGCCCACTATTTGCCAGGCTAAGCTTTGAGGATACAAAAAGAGGCAAGAAACAGTTCCTGTCCTAACTGTGTTAGAGACCTTCTGATTATTAACATCAATGGATACAGAAAAACAAAGATGTTCAT